CTAAAAAGAATACTCTTTAAAGCTGAGTGAGTGGAGTAGAAACTTTAAGGTAGAAAAACAAACAGGTGTGGAGTCAGGAATGGAGACAATTGGATGATCTGCTGTAGGCACATAAGAGCCAGGAAACTCATTTTGTGTGTCTTTTTTCCTGTGAGTCAGAGTCCTGCTTAACTGCAAAGACATGCTACTCAGGCACCCATGGAGTATCTGCTTAGCCTGTCTCACTATGGCCATTTGAGCATGTCATGTTATATGCTTATGTAAGGGCCAGGTAGAAAATGTGGGCAGCATTGTAGGTTATCGTTACCTTTTATACCAATCGCAGGTATAATTGAAGACAATATCTTAAAATTAACCTATTGCAGAAGAGGTCAGAAATAGGAAGAGCCTGAGACAGTATGCCCAAGGAGAAAAAAGGAAAGCTAAGTTAGAAGATTGTAGAAAGCATGAAGTGGAGCTTGGAGCTAAGCCTGTGATAGATCTGGAGGAAGATTGGCGTGACCACATGGCAGTGGTCTCCTAGGAGCCATGCGATTTCCTGCTTCCCGCACTTGACATTTTAATTCAGCAGACCTTGACCATGCTTCCATTAAATGCTAAATTTGACATGAAAATACTAGAATGAAAAGCATTAGGAGAGTGTCTTGTCTAAATTGACTTGTCCATTTTATTCAAAACTATTCCAAGCTTTTCTGCAACTTTGTTATCCATAGTATCCATGCATGGGGCTTGGTGTTTGTCTTGTTGATACTTCTCTCACGCTGAATTTTTGTAACCTAAAATGAAATTTTCTATCATAAAACAAAATGAAATTTGATTGTTTAACCCAGAGCAAAACTTAATAGGAAGAAGCTCCAAGAGAGTATCTTCATGGGCAATTACATTATTGACAAACTGGAGCCCTGTAGCATGCAGTTATCCTTAGAAGACAAAAATAGCAAAAAGGAGGCGGAAATCTGTGCTGTCAGCAATTCATCAGGCTGTTACAGGTACTGATGGATTGGCAGCCACCGAATATCAGGAGAAAAGAGACTTCCGTTTTTAGTTTTTATTATTTGTGTGCAGGTGTTTTGCCTGCATATCTGTATGCTTGCCACATGTGTGCCTGATGCCCATGGAGGCCAGAGGAGGGCACCAGATCCCCTGGAACTAGAGTTATGGATGCTCATGCGCTACTGTGGTGAGTGCTGGAAATCAAACCTGGGTCCTCTGCAAGAGCAACAAGTGCTCTTAACCACTGAGCCTTCTCTCTTGTAACTTTAAAGAGGGAATGCAGCCTGTTTTTCAGTTGATTATTCATTGAAGGGACCACCTGCCAGGTTCTCATTTTTTATACCTAATTGCCCCAGCCCAGATAAGAGCTAAAGCTTCTTAGGCACCAGATCTTGGGCTCAGCTTTGACATCCCAACCCTAGTGTCCACTTTATTCCTCACTCACCAAGGAGGTGTGTCAATCACGTAGGCAATGTGGCCTGAGTAACTGACGCCATTCTCAGATCCATAGGACACTCCTGACAAGAAGCATGTTTCAGAATCAAAACCCAACTTCCCTTACTTGGTAGTTGGTAGTTCCATTCTCATTGTCATAATTCATTGTCATAATAAATAAATACGGCTTAGAAAGACAAGATAGTTTTTCATACTTACTGACCAGAAGTGCTCCAAATGGCATTGTCTCACTGGCAGTCCTTGCTTTGGGAATATATGACATCATGCGTATGAAGTCATCACAACAGTGAATCCTCAGATTTGCCATATCCAGTGGCAGCATTGTGTCATCCACTTTTGAGTTATCTGTTCTTGATGACACTGAACTTGAGTGAATCATGTGTATTGGATCTGCTAACACCCGCACCTTAAGGATGAAGTGTCAGTCTAGAGTCATCAGATGATCTTACTGTGGGTCTCCTGTGGCCCCAGCAGGGCTTTGCAGTCTCCTTCAGCATGTTCCTTAAAGGATTGCTCAGCCCTGCGTTCCAGTAATTTAAGTGTAGACTTTTCTGGTACTTATCTCGCCTTTCATAGGGTGCTTACATGGAAGGATGAAAACAAACGTGCCTTTTTCTTCTCTGAATGGGGTTATTGTAGAGAAAGACGAAGAAGCCATAAATAAGAGCAAAGTCCCCTTTGTCCCCAAAGCACAAACAGTCCTCTTGAGGGCTGTACACTCACACCAGCTCTTCTGATAAGAGAGAGAATATGACTTCTTATGTTCAAAGTAAAAACCGGCCTTGGTACATCTGGGACTCTTCCCCCTCCTGGAGCCTTTGTGGCATCTCTTTAAGTTATGTGAAAGCTTTATGGTTGAACTATTTTAGAAAGAATAAATAAAACATTTTCTCTGAATTGTCTCTCCCTTGAAGTTTTATTTTTGTTTTCTGGCAGAAAGACACTTTTGCTTAAGTGTACTAGTACTGAATTATTAAAAAATAATTTCTTCCAAGAGGCTTTTTAAAAAAATCAACATTAAATTCAAATGAAGATGGGCTGAAGTCTCCACTTACTGCCTCTTTTTCTTTTGATTTTGGTTTTGGCAAATCACAGTCAAGTGTCTGTAACGCACTCATTTGGCTTGTCCTAATCCTTTCTCAACCTGGAAAATTTTGTTTAGAAAAGGGAATATTGGCGTCAAGAGCCATACACTTAAGTTTTCTCTGCTTTGTATATTGGTTTACTGTTTTGTTTATGGTAAATAGTTTGGAAGGTAGAAGGCCAGAGTGTGTGGATAACAAAACAAACAGTAAGCCCCGTGGCAGCGTGGAAGTGCGTGGCCCCGCTCTCATGGTGCCCACGCAGTGAGTGACTAGATCCAGAAGTGAATGTGTCCAGAGACCTTTTGGGCTTTCTAGAACCACTTTAATTTTATTTGATTTGTTTTTATTTTTTAAAAGTTAAAATATAATTATATAATGCCCCCCTTCTCTTGAGTAACCCTCCCCAATGTTCCCCCTCAAAATCATGGTCTCTTTCTTTAGTTATTATTGTTAACTATAACCACTTTTTAACAGTGGCCCAGCCATTTATTCTAGATATAAAGGAAGTAGAATAGCAAATGAAATGGTTTGTCTAGTTAGATGGCACTGGTGTTCATAAGAGATCTCATTAATCGTGAGGAGTGGTGGTGCACACCTTTAATCCCAGCACTGGGGAGGCAGAGGCAGGCGGATCTCTGTGAGTTTGAGGACAGCAGCCTGGTCTACAAAGTGAGTTCCAGGACAGCCAGGACTGTTACACAGAGAAACCCTGTCTCAAAAAACAGAGAGAGAGAGAGAGAGAGAGAGAGAGAGAGAGAGAGAGAGAGAGAGAGCGAGCGAGAGAGCGCTCATTAAAAATGTGCAGTAGCGTGCTGTAACCTGGCAGCTAAGAGGAGCATGGCAGCCCATGTTAAGGCCTGGGGTGTGCCTAGTGCTCACACACTCATGTCTGTTGTCCTTACTGCTGTGATCAGCCTGTCAGCAGACGTCATTAAGTCAACGTCTGTGTGTCTTTCTATCATTACTTTATACAGTAAAATAATGTTTGGGAAAGGCATTCACAGAATGGGGCAGAGGTAAGGGGGAGTTAAGTCAAAATTAAGAAATGTTGAAATATTGGTGCCTATTATACATGCTTAATTCCTCCATCCATCTGCCAAGCTTTGGTCAAGCACATGGAAAACAAAAATACATTTTTTCCCTTGAAGATCTTGTCTAGGAAGAACGGGTTAGGTGGATATTATCACAAAGTTGTCTGTCTGTTTTGTTTGTTTGTTTGTTTGTTTGTTTGTTTGTTGAGGCGGGTTTCTCTGTGTAGTCCAGGCTGTCCTGGAACTTGCTTTGTAGGCCAGGCTGACCTTGAACTCATAGAGATCCACCTGTCTGTGCCTCCTGAGTGCTGGAATTAAAGGTGCACTACCAACACCTGGCTATCACAAGGTTTTAAAACCGAAGAATGCAAGATTGGTATGGGGACACAGAAAAAAGAGCAAAGAAATCTGTTCCTGGGAAAGGGAGGAGTTTGTGGAGGGTGACCTTTACACCAGTTATGAAGGAAGGGTAGGCATATTCCAGGGGAAGAGCATATTCAAAGCCCAGTGTGGATTTGTATGTGACACCCCAGTGGTTTCACATACAAACAGTGGCTACAAGGTGGGTGAGAAGCTACATGCTCAGGAGAGAGACTTCTCCCTGCAGGCAACAGAAACCATGTGGATTATATTCTTACTGCAATGAGAATGTTAGAAAATATAGGGAGATTATAATTTCCAGTTGCATATGAAAATTAAAGTTTGTGTATTTTTAAATGTCCCAGAATATTTAAAACAAAAGGGTTATCTGTATTTACTATTTCACTAGAGTTGGGCAGTCAGTAATGCACCACCTAATTTTTGGTGCATTTTTTTGTAAGTTTAAACCTCTTAGAAAACCATCCCAATCTCTTTTTATGAAAGTTATGGATTGGTAAGACAATTTCATTATTGATTTCTTGTAATTGATTAACTGATTTCCTGGTGTGGCTCAGTTGTAGATCTTAGGGCTCTCATTACGGCAACCTTGGAGAATGACTCCAAATGGAAGGAGAGCATTTAATAACCTTTATTTGAGGGTTAAGAGCAGCACAGATGAAATAACACCTTTTACATAATATTTGAACTACAAAAGGAAGTAACAAAGATCCAGAAAAAAATCAAAGTAAAAATGTAAAAGTCCGAGGTTATTTCCAATGGACTGGGAGGAAAGGTCTTCATCCATTTACAGTACAGCTTCCAAGTGGTGGTGGGGTCCTTAGTAGGAACAGGTACTATACATTGGTGAGGATGGACTCGAGATTACTGAAAAGACTTTTCTTGGACTTGCAAATTTAGGATTCTCATTAAGTATGCTAATTTATTTTTTAATCATTTTGCTTGTACAGCTAACCATAAAAACAATTTTATAATTTATTTCCCACTAGTACAACACATGATCCTGAAATCACAGATCCTAAGCTTAAGAGCACAGTGTGGAACTGAAGGAGCCATATTTTGTTATTTCAATTTTAATTGGTCAAGAGATAGAAAAATTTCAGCTCATCAGAGGGAATAAGTTCAAGAAAATGGTGTACTGTGTAACTCAGTGGCCACAGAGAACACGTGGGACAGTGGGAAGTTCTCAAAGTGCATGCTCCATCATGGCTGCACGCTAACAGGACTCGGTGTTTTGTTAGCTGAGACTAGGACATTGTGAGGGTGTGGAATGGACAAGGGAATCTGGAAGGAGATGGGAGAGGAGAATGAATATGATAAAAAATAAATATATGACATTATCAAAGAGTTAAGGAATATATTGTCTAAAACAAAGTTACTTGGAGAATATATTTTAACATGTCAGGTGATACATATATTACCTTGATCCATCTTGATTACAATAAATGCATATTTGAGAACACTGCTTCACATTATCAATATATATTTGTATCTGTCAACTAAATATTAAGCTAGCTTTTCAAACCCACAAAATCACTTTAGGTTTTCCTCTTTTCTTTTTCTGTACAGGGGCTGCAACTAAGGGCCTGTGCATACCCAGCCAGCCCCCATCACTGAACTCTCTAGTCTCTCCAGGGCCTGTGCATGCCCAGCCAGCCCCC